CAATCAATGGGGTGTGGGAATCAATCATTGGGGTGTGGGAATCAATCACTGGGGTGTGGGAATCAATCATTGGGGGTGTGGGAATCACTGGGGTGTGGGAATCAATCAATGGGGTGTGGGGATCAATCAGGAGTGTGGGGATCAATCATTGGGGGTGTGGGGATCAATCAATGGGGTGTGGGAATCAATCATTGGGGGTGTGGGAATCAATCATTGGGGGTGTGGGGATCACTGGGGATGTGGGAATCACTCAGGGCCGTGTGCCCAAGTGGATTTTCCCCCCAGCACCCCCAGACCTCGCTGCCCAAAGAGCAGGGCTGTAAATGAGGAGCCCTCTCTGCCCAGCTCTGACACCCCTTCTGTGCTGTTCCCATCCCCTTTCCTATCACAAAACCTCCCTCAGTCCCAGGGCCCCTCTCAGGGAGACTGGGATAGGATCCTGGAATCTCCTGAGCTGGGACCCCCAGGGATCATCCCAGCCCCTCCCAGACCCCCCAACAATCCCAGCCTGGGCATCCCTGGCAGCGCTGCCCAAACGCTCCTGGAGCTCCGGCAGCCTCGGGGCCGTGCTCCCTGGGGAGCTTTTCCAGAGCTCATTCCACCCTCTGGGGGAAGAACCTTCCCTGATCTCCAACCTAAACCTCCTCCAGCTGCCCTCAGGAGGAGCTGCACCTCAATCCTGCACCCCTGAGTGTCCAACCCAACAAAATGCAGCAGAACAGTGAGCACAGAACTCTGGAACTCACCACTGCTGAAATCACTGAAAAAACAGGAGCTAGAGTAGAATTCCTTCTTCCTATAAATTTTGTTACAGCTCAGCATTAATAAACTGACCTTGGAGAAACCAAGACCCCTCCACAGAGCTGAGTCCCTGCCACTGCCCCTGCAGGTTTTACCAGCTCCAGGTTCCTTTCTGCCGTGTCCCACCTGTCCTGGGCTCCTTCATGGGCCGGCACACCGTCCACTGGTTCTGGTGGGGGTCGTACCTCTCGATGCTGGACAGGTGGGACACCCCGTTGTGTCCCCCCACCACGAAGATGAAGCCCAGCATCACCCCCACCCCAAAGTTTATCCGTTTGTCAGCCATGGAGGCCACGGTCTCCCAGGAGTTCTTGCTCGGATCGTAGCGCTCCATGCTGCAAAGCAAACACAGCCATGAGCCCGGGGTCTGGGGTGGGGATTCACTCCTGGAGAGCCACAGGAACAGCTCCAGGATCTGGGGATTCACTCCTGGAGAGCCACAGGAACAGCTCCAGGATCTGGGGATTCACTCCTGGAACCTGACACAGCTCCAGCCCAGGGTCTGGGATGGGAATTCACTCCTGGAGAGCCACAGGAACAGCTCCAGCTCAGGATCTGGGATGGGAATTCATTCCAGGAGCCTGACACAGCTCCAGCCCAGGATCTGGGATGGGGATTCACTCCTGGAGAGCCACAGGAACAGCTCCAGGATCTGGGATGGGAATTCACTCCTGGAGAGCCACAGGAACAGCTCCAGCCTGGGATCTGGGATGGGAATTCACTCCTGGAACCTGACACAGCTCCAGCCCAGGGTCTGGGATGGGAATTCACTCCTGGAGAGCCACAGGAACAGCTCCAGGATCTGGGGATTCACTCCTGGAGAGCCACAGGAACAGCTCCAGGATCTGGGATGGGAATTCACTCCTGGAGAGCCACAGGAACAGCTCCAGCCTGGGATCTGGGATGGGAATTCACTCCTGGAACCTGACACAGCTCCAGCCCAGGATCTGGGATGGGGATTCACTCCTGGAGAGCCACAGGAACAGCTCCAGGATCTGGGATGGGAATTCACTCCTGGAACCTGACACAGGAACAGCTCCAGGATCTGGGATGGGAATTCACTCCTGGAACCTGACACAACTCCAGCCTGGGATCTGGGATGGGAATTCACTCCTGGAACCTGGCACAGCTCCAGCTCAGGATCTGGGATGGGGATTCACTCCTGGAACCTGACACAGCTCCAGCCCGGGGTCTGGGATGGGAATTCACTCCTGGAGAGCCACAGGAACAGCTCCAGCCTGGGATCTGGGATGGGAATTCATTCCTGGAACCTGACACAGCTCCAGCCCAGGATCTGGGATGGGAATTCACTCCTGGAGAGCCACAGGAACAGCTCCAGGATCTGGGAATTCACTCCTGGAGAGCCACAGGAACAGCTCCAGGATCTGGGAATTCACTCCTGGAACCTGACACAGCTCCAGCCCGGGGTCTGGGATGGGAATTCACTCCTGGAGAGCCACAGGAACAGCTCCAGCCACAGGAACAGCTCCAGGATCTGGGGATTCACTCCTGGAGAGCCACAGGAACAGCTCCAGGATCTGGGATGGGAATTCACTCCTGGAAACTGGCACAGCTCCAGCCCAGGATCTGGGATGGGAATTCACTCCTGGAACCTGACACAGCTCCAGCCCAGGGTCTGGGATGGGAATTCACTCCTGGAACCTGGCACAGGAACAGCTCCAGCCCAGGGTCTGAGATGGGAATTCACTCCTGGAGTGCCACAGGCACAGCTGGTTCTACCAGAATTCCCACACAGGAATAATGGAATACAGAGGAAAGGGCTGGAGCTGATGGAAAATTCCGTGGTGCAGTTGCTTGGCACAACCCAAGGGCAGCACCCAGAAATTGTGTGTTCACCTGGGAAGCATCCATCACATCCCAGGGCACTTCCACAACCAAAGCAGCCCAACTGTGCAGCCAAAACCCAGTTTTAACCCATTTTTATAATATATTCAGACAAAGGTTGGACTCAATGATCTTAAAAGACTTTTCCATCCCAAATGGTTCTGTGATATTTCCCCCAGGCACTGCCATGGCTCAGCCTCTCCCATGTCCTTCCTGTCCTGCATCTTCAGTCACACCCTGAAACCAGGAGGTTCCTCAGAGCTGAAAGCTCTTTCAGGATGCCTGGTGCAGGTTTTTAAAAGAAGAATTTAAAATGTATGTCATAAGAATAATAATCTATTAATATAATAATCCATTAAAATAATATAATAATATATTAAAGTAATATTATAATCTATTAAAATAATACTATAATCTATTAAAATAATACTATAATCTGTTAAAATAACACTATAATATATTAAAATAATACTATAATCTGTTAAAATAACACTATAATCTATTAAAATAACTATAACTATAATCTATTAAAATGATACTATAATCTATTAAAATAATACTATAATCTGTTAAAATAAATTTTTTGTGGGAATCTGAACACAACACAGAGCTGAAGTGTATTTCTATGGGTACACAGCAAATCCAAAACTGCCTTGAGGCTGGCCTGAAAATAACATTCAGAGAGGAAAAGCATGTGGAGAGTGTATTTATATTCCTCAGGAAAAGCAGAGAAGAGGCTGCTGATGAAAACACCGAGGGCAGGAGAGACCTGAGATGAAAGGGAAGTGAATTCTCATCATTATTAATATTTCTGATCATTGTACAGATGATTACCACTCTCCTGGCTCAGAGCTGCAGCTGCAGGAGCACAGAGGGGCAGAAGAAAGGGGGACAGGAGATCAGCAGCAGCACAGGGTTTGGAAAGGGGGTTCACTACCCAGGGGGAGCTGATTTAATGCCAGAGCTTGGAGGAGCCATGATGGTACTCACCCCTCCAATCATAAACAAAACCAAAATCCTTCACAGAATATGGAACACCCTGAGCTGGAAGGATCAAGGAGTCCAAGGACCCTTTTCCTAACAAAAGAAGATCCTTTTCCTAAAAGAAGAACCTTTTCCTAATGTCCAACCTAAACCTCCCCTGTCTCCAGTATAAAAAGTCCATGCAATTCATCATTCCAGTGTCTGAACAATCACTGTGCCCCTTCCTAGGAGCAAGAGTTTCATTCTTTACTCAGCCCTTACACTTGTGGTTCATGATTTTGCTTCCTGGAGGGACATTCAGCTGGTTTGCTCCCATTTTAACGATGGGAAATGGTTCCCTTGGATAACTGGATGTCCCTGTTAAAGCAGCACCAGGAAAACTCCTTGGGAATGCAAGGTCAGAAACACCCCCTGGAGTCAGAGCAGTAATCCCCATCCTGAGTTCTGCTGCTGGCAGCAGCACTGATTTGAGATCCCATCAGAGTTATGTATTTATTTTGTGTGAATCAAGCATGGGAAAACTCCTGTTCACCTCAGATCAGGGCTTTCATGGCAAAACTCACCACCCACCCTCAGATTCTGCAGGATTGAGCTACAAGGGTCAGTAATGTGCAGGCACGTCTGTGTTTTTACCTTTTTTGGTAAAATCACCTTTTAGGTGATCTAAAAAAGAGCCCAAACAAGGTGGAACACACAAAGTGAAGCAAAACCAGAGATTTCCCCTTTGAGTGATGGGACTGATGTGACAGAGCAGGGATTAATGAGACCCAGGATCTATTGGAAATGATTTCATCGGCTGCCCAGGGGGTTTGGTGATGCCCAGGTGAGCACAGCGTCACCCCCAGCACATTCAGGAGGTTTGGTGGTGCCTGGGTGAGCACAGGGTGACCCCCAGCATGTTCATGTGATCAGGAAAGGATTTGTGAGGCTGCCCAGGGGGTTTGGTGGTGCCCAGGTGGGCACAGGGTGACCCCCAGCATGTCCATGTGGGCAGGGAAGGATTAATGACTCTGCCCAGGAGGTTTGGTGGTGGGCACAGCGTCACCCCCAGCACATTCAGGAGGTTTGGTGGTGCCAGGTGAGCACAGGGTCACCCCCAGCACGTTCAGGAGGTTTGGTGATGCCCAGGCAGGTCACCCACCCCCAGCACGTTCAGGAGGTTTGGTGGTGCCCAGGTGAGCACAGGGTTACTCCCAGCACATTCAGGAGGTTTGGTGATGCCCAGGTGAACACAGGGTCACTCCCAGCACGTTCAGGAGGTTTGGTGGTGCCCAGGCAGGTCACCCACCCCCAGCACATTCAGGAGGTTTGGTGGTGCCCAGGTGAGCACAGGGTCACTCCCAGCACATTCAGGAGGTTTGGTGGTGCCCAGGTGAGCACAGGGTCACTCCCAGCACGTTCAGGAGGTTTGGTGATGCCCAGGTGGGCACAGGATCACCCCCAGCACGTTCAGGAGGTTTGGAGGTGCCAGGAGGGTCACCCACCCCCAGCATGTACCTGTTCATGTGTGCAGGGAAGGATTAATGACCCTGCCCAGGAGGTTTGGTGGTGCCCAGGCAGGTCACCCACCCCCAGCACGTACCTGTTCATGTGAGCAGGCCCGTAGCCCCCGATGGCGTAGATCATCCCATCCAGCACAGCAGCAGCGAAGCAGCTCCGTGTCCTGCTCATGGGGGCCACCAGCTGCCACTCCTTGACCTTGGGGATGTACTTCTCCACGCTCCTCAGGTAGGACTGGCCGTCGTAGCCGCCCAGCGCGTACAGCTCTCCGGCCAGCACCGCCACGCCCAGCGTGCTGCGGCTCTCAAACATCCTCTCCAGGGAGCTCCACGTGTTGGTGTCGGGGTCCCAGCACTCCACTGAGCTCTCGTGTTTCCTGTAGCTGATGCCCTGGCACACGTGGGTGGCGATGCCTCCCACCACGTAGATCTTCTGCTCCAGCACGCAGATCCCAAACTCGTAGCGGGGGATGCTCAGAGGGGCCAGCCCGATCCACGAGTCGTTCTGGGGGAAATACATCTCCATGCTGCAGGGGCAAACAGGAGCTGGTCAGGAGAAGGGGATCCAGCTGGAGACAGGGCCCAAGGGGGGCAGAAAATACACACCAAAACACCAAAATTGGTCAGGAGAAGGGGATCCAGCTGGAGACAGGGCCCCAAGGGGGGCAGAAAATACACACCAAAATAAACAAAACTGGTCAGGAGAAGGGGATCCAGCTGGAGACAGGGCCCAAAGGAAGGAGAAAATACACATCAAAACACCAAAATTGGTCAGGAAAAGGGGATCCAGCTGGAGACAGGGCCCAAGGGGGCAGAAAATACACACCAAAACACCAAAATTGGTCAGGAAAAGGGGATCCAGCTGGAGACAGTGCCCAAGGGGGGCAGAAAATACACATCAAAACACCAAAATTGGTCAGGAAAAGGGGATCCAGCTGGAGACAGGGCCCAAAGGGGGCAGAAAATACACACCAAAACACCAAAATAACCAAAACTGGTCAGGAAAACAGGATCCAGCTGGAGACAGCAAACAATGGAAGGAGAAAATACACACCAAAACTAGTCAGGAAAACAGGAACTGGAGCTGGAGACAGCACCCAAAAGGAGGGAGAAAACACACACCAAAACACCAAGATTGGCCACAGAAAGGGGAGAGGGAAAAGCAAATGTCAGAGAGGGAAGCACACATCTGTATTTACAAGTGTACATTTGGAAACTACAGCTTGCACTTTATAAATCCCCACCTTAGGGGCACTCTGTAATTTAAATAAAATGTTAATGCAGCACAAACCAACCTGAAAGATTGTTGTGACAGAGATGGACACTTGTGTGAATATTCCTATATTCCTATGTGTGAATATTCCTAATATCCCTATAATTTTTATTCACACAGCTCATATTTCTAGGAATATTAGAAGGTACTGTGCTTGAATCTAATTGCTCACTGAAATTTACTTTATTGCTTGGCTAGTGGATATGTCTATCAAACTTTTCTCTTTTTAGTTTATTTTGTTTCTTGGGGATTGTTTTACATGGGTAGAATTCTCCTCTTTGCAGGTACAAGCTGGTTTTTTTTCACAAGAATAGATTGTTATGCAAATGATTCTCATTCCTGTGATTCTTTTTCTCCCAGGAACTTCCCAGGTTGGTTGTTAGCTTAGCCAAAATAACAAGACCTGATTTTACAAGGCCTTTCTTTTATAAGGTTTTACCCATATGTAACAGAAACACCCAGGTCTTTAAAAGAGCTTATTTCTTTTAAACAGCATTTAAAATCTTAAATTGAAATCTTAAATTGAAATCTTAAATTGAAATCTTAACTCTTAAATTACTATTTTCTTTTAATTAAACTCAGTGTGAGAACATGGTGGGTCTAGCTTGCCCCATATAAAGTCTAGCCAATCTACCTGAACAGTTTAATTAATGAACTACCTAAATAATTAAGAGGCTATCTGGTAGAGAGGAAACATGATCTGTTCAAAAACCATACAGGAGCATGAGGCCCCTGGAGAGCTGACACTAAGAGCCCAGCAACAGGAGCTGCTGAAACACCAGACAAGAGAAATTAAATATATTCTAATTAATTTTGTTACTATGAAGCACCAAAAAATTGAAATTAATCCAAATTATACTGGCAGGCTACATTTTATAATCACTGAAAGAAGCAGAGCTGAAGAATATCAGAGAACGACTTCATTCACCCAAAGATTTTTTATGAAGCACAAACCCCCACTTTATTTCTCAAGCCTATAAACCCAATTCTCTGTCTATAAACAATTCCCTGTCCCAACATTTGGTTGAGTATCAGTGAGTACCACTGGGAAAATTAACTTTAAATGACTTTGATATCTCTGAACACAGGAAAAGGAACACACAGCTCGCCCCAGGTTTTTAAATGTGCTTCTCCCTGTGAGCACAGGACTGTCACATATTATTATTGTTATATGAATTATAGGAATATATCCAGAATCCAGCTGTGGAACCAGTTCAGGCAGTCTCCCTGGGCACAGGGAACACTCCTGGGGCTGATAAGGGCACTCTGAACATCAAAGCTCTTCCTGTGCAAGTATAAATGTGTAAATGGGTATTTGTATATAAACAGCCCACACAAAGTTTAACTACCAGCTCTGGGAGTGGTAATCCCATGTTCTAAGCAAACCCAGCCACACCAGCCTGCAGCATAAAGTTGTTTTTCCCTCTTTCATTCCTTCTGCTCCTCAGGATGAGCCTCAGGGATGCTCTCCAGGAACGGGGGAGGTTCATTCTGGAATGCAGGGCAAGGAGGAGGGGCACTCACCTGCTCCTGCCAGCACAGCACAGACACCTGCCTGGGGACTAAAGCCATCATCACATCACATCCACAGCTCCTGCATGAAATCCCAGGATCCCTGAGGCTGGAAAAGCCCTCCAAGATCAGAGTCCCAGCTGTGCCCACCCTGTCCCCAGAGCTCCGAGTGCCACCTCCAGCAATTCCTGGGACACCTCCAGGGATGGGCACTGCAAACCTCCCTGGGCACTTCCAAGGCCTGAGCGCCCTTTCCATGGGGAAATTCCTGCTGCTGTCCCCCCTGAGCCTCCCCTGGCCCAGCCTGAGGCCGTTCCCTCTGCTCCTGTCCCTGTTCCCTGGGAACACAGCTGTCCCCTCCTGGCAGGGAGCTGTAGGGAAAAGTCCCTTTGATCTGAGCCTCCTTTATTCTCCTTCAGTCTGCTCTGATCAAGTCTGTTTTAATTCCAAGGGTTTTTGAATTACCAGGAAGCACATTTGTCAGATACCCAGTTAATCTTTATGATTTGTTTGAAATAATAACAAATCGTGGGAAAATTAATAACAAAATAAATAAATAACCAATCGAGGGAAAATTAAGTGAAATGAAAATACCTGGAAGGAAAAATAAGAACTGTACAAACTTAAGTAACTATGATAAGCCACGTTATTAACTCAATTAACACAATCAAAAGAATTTCAGAGATTTTTTTGCACAAACAAAACCCCCTAACACTGCAAAAAGCATTTTGAACTTGGGGCTCATCCTTGTTAAAAACAAACAAGGGGGAACTGAACTGAAGAGTTTTTATGGAGGAAAGGAACAACCACAGCCTGCAAACTCTGCTGGGACTCCCAGCTCTGTTCCAACCCCGGTGATTTGGGGGTGCCCAGCTGGCAGTGCCCACCCCCCTGCCCAGCTGTTCCTCACCTCTCCAGGCAGGCGAAGAGCCCGGCCTTGCCCCCCACGGCACAGAGCACCTTGGGCGCGCAGCGGGGCCGCGTCAGCAGCACGCTCTGGTGGGACAGTCTGTGCTCGGGCATGAAGTGGTACTTGAGGGCCTCGTTCAGCAGGTGCTTGCAGGTGTGGTCGTCCCTGATCAGGTGGTTGGCCTCGTAGAGCCGCGTGAGGAACTTGACGCTGAGCAGGGGCAGGCGCACGCAGTGCAGCAGCTGCGCCAGGTACTTCTGGCGCTCCTGCACGTCGTACTTGATCCAGGACTCCAGGGCGTAGAACACCGTCTCCTCCGTCACCACGTTCAGGCAGTCGTTGGACACGATCTCGTCCAGCTCCGAGTGCGTCAGCTCCAAGAACTCCTCGGTCTGGCACACGTCCTCGAAGTTCTGGCAGATGAACTTGTTGGCCGCCAGGTACAGCTCGTGGCAGCCGTAGGTCTCGGCGAAGCGCGAGATGCCGATGCAGTTGCCGGGGTCCAGCTGGCTCTCCAGGAAGGCGCAGCACTCCTTGACCACCAGCTTGACCTGCAGCAGGTTGGCTGCGGGCAGCAGCGACTCCACGGTGTCCTGCGAGATGAAGACGGTGCCGGTGTAGGCGTACTCCACGATGGCCTGCAGCGCCGCCTCGTCCACGCACTGGAACTCCACCTCGGCGTTCTCCTTCTCCGACAGGTTCCCGGTGAACATGGCCTTGAAGTAGGGGCTGATGCTGGCCAGCACCACCTTGTGCGCGTGGATCTTGGCCTCGCCCACGCGCAGCACGACGTCGCAGAGCTCCTGGTGCTGCCGCAGCAGGTTGAGGCCCTGCAGGAGCTGCTCCGAGTGCAGGGGGGTCAGCTTGGCCAGCAGGAACGGCGGGGACGACGGGTCCATCTGGGACAAACACAGTTTGGGAGGTGTCACTCGGTGTTTTGTAACTGGGACGCGCCACACGGAACGGTGAAAAGGCGTTTTTACGTTTTGGCTTTTAAATCGTACGGTTTGTTACTTCCCAGCTCCCTTTTCAAGCCTTACCTGCTACACCTTTTTCATGCAAGTGAAACCCAGGACCTTCAAATGTTCATTGGCACTCTTATGCTACATTCAGCTCTGAATTTAAAAACCCCACAACCATCGCTTTGTTTTTGTTCTGGAATCAAATATCTATGATCTGATTGTTGGGGTGTCTGTGCAGGGCCAGGAGCTGGGCTGGTGGTTCCTGTGGATCCCTTCCCACTCAGGACATTCTGTCATTCTACATCAAGGGTTTGAGAGAACTGACCAGTGGCTGAAATAGAAACAAACACAGATAACTAAAGAATACAACTGGCTAATTGGAGACAAAGTTTTCAAAGTTCTCAAACTCCTTTTGTGCAGTTCAATTGCTGCCTGCTTCGTGCTCCTGGGGAGCAGCCCAGTCCTGCTGTGCCTTTCTCTGGCAGGGAGCAGCTTCCCATTCCCATTCCCTCTGCCAAGCACCCCCAGAGAGCCAGTGGGGCTGGAGCAGGTTCCTGTGCTGTGGATGCACACAGGAGAAATGGGAGATCCTCAGCTCACCTCACCCTGCGGCTCCCACCACACCAGGAAATCCCTGCTGGGCCGGTCTCAGCCCCTGCAGAGCTCCCCAGGTGAGCAGGGGGACAGGCTGAGCTCTCTGGAATTCTCTTCCCTGGCACTGGCAGCTGCCCACGCTCCCCAGGAGCGCAGAGGGGAGGATCCTCACTCCCCCACAGCTCCACAAACTCCTCTTCCCCCGCGTGCCCGCGTGCATCGTGACACCGGAGCCCTCGGGTTCCTGCTCTCATTTCAGCTCCAGGAACGCTGCCAGGGTGCAGCAGCTCTTTGCTCAGCCCCCAGCGCTGCACGGCTGAGGGGTGGAGGGCAGGAACGTGTCAGGATCCTGGGCACAGGAAAGAATCCCATTGTTCCACAGGGAACACTGCAGGCACCCCACTCCCCAGCCCAGCAGCTCCTCACTTGCTAAAATGATCTGCAAGATCTCGCTTCTTTTATCTTAATAATAAGTTCATGGTTTGCACAGCTCCTTAAATGACACCTCACTTGCAGGGGAGCCCACTTAAAAGTGCTTAATTGGAAATAATCACACGGGTTGCCAGAGTTTAAATACAGAATACAATAGCAGTGACAGGGAAGGGGCTGAAAAACCTCTTACCCACAAAGAGATAAATAAGCTCAACTATTATCACTCTGTACTGGAAAAATTAACTGAAAGAAACTAATTGAAGTGCATCTGCAGAAGGCAAGATCATATATAACAATGTTTTCCCTATCACAATTTTGCAGCACAAATTACACAAGGGAGAATTAAGTTAAAATAATAAAAAAAAAATCCAGCAGCTAAAAGAATGTATTCCGATTTTGTGTTTGCATTCAGTTCCTGACTTCATCATACAAACACACAAAAATCAGGCACCACCACAGGCAAAAAGGAACAGTCACGGTTCAGCTGCAAAACCTGCCAAAACACCTGTAAATAACTGTATTTAAGGCATTCTGCAGCAATAACGCTTCGAGTACCACCCTGGCAGAATCTCTCACCCCCCTGCACGGCCAGGCTCGCCCGTCCCAGGGATCTGCTGGGTTTTATTTTACTGTTTAGTGAGAAATCAGCAGCTGGAAGATGAAGCAGCCCTGGAATTGTGACACCCAGCAGACGGTCACCCCCGGGTGAGTGCGGGGAGTGCAGAGAGCAGCAGGAGGAGCTGCGGGCTCTGCCCTGCCCCGAGCGGGGAGCGGGAGCTCACCGGGCCGGGGGAGCGGCTGGGGCTGCCCGGAGAGCCCCGGGCCGGGCAAGAGAGCGAAACACAGCCCAAGCTGCGCTACTTCTGCAATTCCTGCCCTGCCCGCGTTTGTGCCTCAGCCCGGTGCCCGAGCGCCGCTCCCGGCCGGGGACAGGGCTCGGAGCAGCCTGGGCTGGGAAAGGTGTCCGTGCCCAGGCTCCCAAAGCACGGCGGG